AAAAAAAAAAAAGACGCTTTGCTGATGAAGAGTCAACACAGGTCTTCTGTGTCAACATAAGAGCGGCATGTGCTCATCAATGTCTAAGAGGTAGTGTTTTACTGTGTGCTGAAATAGAAAAAAACAGCTTCTGTGGCATGTTTGGTGTCTCAGTGGGATTTGCTGACGGATCTATCATCTGAGAATGCTGAAATAGTGGCTGGGGTGATAGAGTTCTTCCACCTGGCCCTCTGTCACATAGAGTTTTCTGGCAAATAGCCCCAAAAGCACTGCTGAGCTCTGAGATGCAGGTCACCACAGAGATCCTACCAGGGAAGTGATCCCTGGACAGCCTGGTAAACAGAACCAAGGACACTACAGGAATGCCGAGGCAAGCTGGAAGAGGGAGCGTTGTCACAGCAACATGGTTTAGCTAATAATGCAATGGGAGCACTTTCTTGCAATGAAAGTCAAAGTTGTATATCCAGCAGAGAGGACTGTGATAAGAAAATACCACAATCAGGAATTTGGTCAAGGGTGAGGAGGGGTGAAGAGAAAAACCACAGAGAATCCACTGTATGGATTCTGTATTTAGTTTTTGCCATGATCAGCTGGCATCTAGAAGTCCTCTGGCCCACTGAACCATCAAGGGTGTAACTCACTTGTTTCTGACAATATCTTACCCTTCCTGGCTGTGTCACCTGGAGGATTAGGGGGCTTCCTATGAGGAAGAGGGAGAGAGAGAAAGAGAGAGAACGAAAAGATAGTTTTGGGCCTTACAACTGTGGTCAATTTGGAATAAAGCCTTAGCTAAAAAATCATGAGGCTGAGGTGGCTGAACTTATGATATAAAATAAGTACTCACTGCATTCCATCTCTCTTGCCCCCGGACCTGCCTTCCCCAGGCTCCTAGTCTGAATTCCTCATCTTTCACCAAGACTGCCCCAAATTGTGATTGATGGAAGGACTGCAATAAAATGATACCACAGTTTTAGCCCTTTCCAAAAACGTAATGAAATCGGGCAAACTGGCACTCATCCACAGAAAAGGGATCAAAGCGGGATCCCATGATCAATGCTTCCAAGAAATTGAGCCAAGTTCAAAAGAAACTGGGCTGTGGACGAGTACTGCTACTATTTTTAGGGATATTGATGAGTCCTCCAATGAATGTGTCATTGCAGACTGTGAAGAGTGTCAGAAAAATGGTGAAGTTTGTGCCTATTGAAGAAAGCTCTTAAATTTATTAGCTTTCAAATACTCTCAAGTTTAACTGTCTTAAGTTGTTAAGTCAAAGATTCTTAAGTTGTTAAGTCAAAGATTTTTAAGTCAAAAAATGTACGCGATTCCTATCAAGCTTAAGAAGTTTCAATTAAATTTGCTTTTGAAAAGTAATTGGGCTATGTATACTCAGAATATTTACAGAGTCTCCTGAGATTAGTGGATGGAAACATTAAAAGCCTGAAAAAGTACTGAAAGAAAAAGAACAAAGGTCAGAGAGTGGGCTGGGAAGCATATGGGCTTTGTAACTGAACCCTGGGTTCAAGCAGAATCTGACCCGCAGCAGCTACTTGGAGCCATGAGGAAATGCCTCAGGATTCAAAAGATCTGGTGGTGTTATTAACCACGTCCAAGAACAAAAAGTGAAAAATGATACTGGAAAATCCTGAGGTGTCTCCATCTCCATCCCTGATAAGATCTTGGCTCAGGTTCCTCTAAATGGGTCACCGGACAAAAGGCTTCAGGCCCGCAAAATCACAATGTGGCTTTTCCACCGCGGTGTGGTCAGGCGGCCATGCCCCTGTTGCTACAGATAGGACCAGCAGAAACTTTTCTTTGTCATCTTTAGATTTAATCAAAACACACTATTGTGATCAGATCTGCATTCTAGCTGTGACTTTGGTTTGTTTACTCAGAAGTCTCCTCTGCTGCCAATGGCGTGAATCAAAATTGTGTTATCTGTTTGGCATTACTCATCTCTTTTATGTAGCCGTGCCTGAGAATAAATTTGTTATTCAAATGTTACTTTCAAGTCCTCTTGCTTCTCCCTCAGAGCCTCACTAAAAATCACAAACGTGCAATCAAGAATAAGCATCTTCTGTTTACATGCACCAGAAGTCCACATGTATTAAGTGAGACACATCAGAGTTCATTTGGCTGGTGTCCCCATGACATCGGCAGGGGAAAAAAATAAGAACTGATGGCAATGCCAAGCTGGCAGGCTGCCACCATGTTTCAATTCCTGGAGAGGAATGAACCATACAGCCAGCCAGGGTCACTGGGGTGGAGACATTTCACTCTCTGAGTAGAGGAGATACACATGTGTATACATGGTTTCCTATCTACATTTATGTTTAACACAATCTTATTTCTGGCACCTATTACTCCTGACCGTAACACAAATTGTGCTTTAAAAAAATGATTAGCTGGCCACAGTAGCTCATGCCTGTAATCCCAGCACTTTCGGAGGCCGAAGAGAATGGATCACTTCAGACTAGGAGCTCGAGACCAGCGTGGCCAACATGGTGAAACCCTGTCTCTACTAAAAATATGAAAGCCGGGTGTGGTGGCACACACTTGGAATTCCAGCTACGTGGGAGGCTGAGGCACGAGAATTGCGTGAACATGGGAGATGGAAGCTGCAGTGGGCTGAGTTCATGCCACTGTACTCCAGTCTGGGTGGCAGAGCTAGACTGTCTCAAAAAAAAAATTAAATAACTGGGATGTTTTTAACTAGTCAAACTAATATAACCCGATTTTATAATAATGAAATTGACACATTTTTAACACTTACTAATACGGACC